TCTCTCTCTCTGCCTATAATTGCTCTAGAGTCACTAAGCATGTCTTTCATTATGTTCTCCATCTCTGTAGTTATCTGAGAAATTATTTCTGATTTGACTATTTCTAGAGCTTCCTTCATCTGTTCTGTTATTTCTGCTGTTAACACTTCAGACAGCCCAGCTGGGTAGCTTTCAGCTTGTTCTACCTCCTTGCCCCCTGGGTTTGCCTTTGGTGAGCTGGAAATCTGGGCTGCGTCTTGCTTAAATCTTCTCATTTTCTACTTTTTAGTTTTAATTCCAGGTTTGATGCTTGAAAAGGCTTATGGCAGGTAGCTTTATTGCTAGTATTGCCAGCCCAGCAAGGTGTGGTGGTGCTTGCCTGTGCTCTCAGCACTCGGAAGGCTGAGTCAGAGGGATGGCCATAAGTTACAGGCCAGTCTGGGCTACAGAGTCAGACCCTGTCTTGAAAACAACAAACAAAAAAGTGGTTTCACAAAGATATTTTCCAGGTGTAGCTGGCTTTTGGGTTTTGGGTCTGTTGCAAGAGCCTGCCTCTTCAATTTATGGGGAATGAGAAGTGACTGCCTATTTGGCTGACCCCTAGTTCTTTGGCCCTGGCCTATAGTATTGTTTATGACCCTTAGCCAATCTCAGTCTTTTTCGTTTTCTTTAAATGTATTTAGTAAAGGTCTACAGGGTCTCACTACACAGGTTGGACTCATAGTGATCCTCCTGTTTTCAGCCTCCCAAGTGCTGGGATTACAGGCTCTTGCCATCACGTCTAGTCTCAGTCTTTGTCTTAGTACACCTGGGGGTGGGGCCAGCACAGCAGGCTGAGGATTGAACCCTGGTCGCTGAGCCTGCCTAAGCAGGCGCTTTAGTCCACTGAGCTATCTGGCCAGCAACCAATCTCACTCTTCCTGCCTCCTTCTGTGTTGAGGGCTCTCTTTGCTCTTTCCTGTCGGCTTCTGTTTTCACTTCAGATCCTTGCTAGGTCCCACGGACCCACTCTCCTCCTCCTCTTCCTCGCATTGCTTTGTTTCAATGTCTGGACACCAACTTTCTGAGAGGCTGTTTCTGTGTTGTTAATCACTCTGCCATCTTCCCGAAGTCCCAACTCATTATTGTAACAGCCTTTTTTGTTTTTTCTTGATTTTAGTTCTTTAAGACAAGGTCTCACTATGTATGTGTAGCTCAGACTGGCCTTGAAATTGCAGTGATCTTCTGCCTCAGCCTCCCAAGTGCTGGGATCACCACAATGCATCACCATGCCTAGTTTATAACAACCTTGGGAGTAAGAATTACTACCATCATTTCATAGATGAGAAATGCCTCTGGTATTTTTTTTCCTTAGGATTCTAATTCCCTCCCTGTCTCTGTTTTTTTGTTTTCCTAAACCATATATTGTCAAATTCAGAATGCTATGACTCATTCTAAGTGGATAAGAAAGACATTTATACTGTTACAGTATTCTTTTTCTTTAAAAAAAAAAAAAAAAAAAAGGATTGTTTTGAAACTGGTTCTCTATATCACCTCAACTGACCTTGAATTCCAGGGTTCAAGTCGTCCTTCCTCAGCCTCTCAAGTGGTGGGACTGTAGGAATATGGCTGTAAACTCACCTTATATTAAATCAATTCATGCATTCTTTTCACTTAATTCCCACCTCATTTTGCAGATAAGCAAATATACCCAGAGGTTAAATAAAAATTGCTTAGCTAGTAAATTACATAACAAGGGAGCAGGCCCAAGTCTTTCTTACACTGCTGTTTTTCATTCTGCTAGTAAGGCAGAGATCCACAGGAAGATACCTGTACTCTTCCCACTTCACTTGTGACTAGCAGATGAAAGTGGACCCAAGTATATATTGTGTGCCCAAATCAGAATGGTACATAAAAAGACCTTTGCCAGAGATAAAATGAAAATTTTTCCTACTACTTTGGAAAATTAGGATTTTGAAGCTAGTCATGTTGGTAAATACCTATAATCCCAGCATTCGGGAGGCTGAGGCAGGAGGATCACTGCCAAGTTTAGACAGATGAAAAGTCCAGCGTGAGGAAGTAACCGCTTGAGCTAAATAGCTGATCCAACACTGCCAAGTTTAAAGCCATCTTCTTGATCTACCTAGTTCAAGCTAACCTGAATACATAGTGAAACCCTATCTCAAAAACACAAAAACAAATTAGGGTTTTAAAGGGTGCAGAAACAAATAATAAGGTTGTATCCTGTAGCTCTCAGGACTGTGGGGTCACTCCTCGTGCATGGATTGGGACACAGACTTTTCTGCATCATAGCTGCCTGTTACTGGCCTCACCTTGTGCCCCGTCTAGGTCATCAGTCATCTCTGCCTGTGGTCATACCACTCCCTTTGCTTCTCTCTGCTCACCTTAAGTGCCTGTTGCTACTGTTGTTGGCGCTCAGCTCACGGGCCACCTCTCTGGTTTAGCTGTCCTCTAAATGGTATAGTCAGTAGAAGTGAGCCTAGAGTTTGAAATCCAGCTCTGTCACTTGCTAACATTATGGATCTTCTTGGCCAAGTTACTCGTTCCTTTCTGAGCCTGAGTTTTCCCATCTATAAAAGGGCAGTACAAGGTTATCATACAGATGTAATGAAGCTCAGTGTGGTGGTACGCCCGCCTATAACCCCAGGGGCTGAGGCAGGAGGATCATGAGGTTTTTTGTTTTTTTTTTTAAAGATTGATTTTTTAAATTTTATTTATTTGTGTGTGTGTGTGTGTGTGTGTGTGTGTGGCCAGCTCAGCCCACCAGGGGGTGGGGCTGGCTGGCATGTGGTGCTGGGGGATTGAACCGCGGTCTCTGTGATTTGCTAAGCTTGTTCTAAGTAGGTGCTTTAGACCACTGAGCCATCTCTCCAGCCCGGATCATGAGTTTGAGGCTAGTGTGGACTACATAACAAAACCTTGTTTCAAAACACACACACATACACAAAAGCCAGATATAATGGCAAACACCTGTAATCCCAGCCCTCAGGAGGCTGAAGCAAGAGGATGCTTCATGTTCTAGGCCAGTTTGACCTACATAGTGAGTTCAAAGCCAGCCTGAAATACATAACAAAACCCTGTCTCAAAGGGAAAAAAAAAAGGATAACATAATAAAATCAGTTTTTCTGGAACAAGGTGAAAGTTTAGTAATTGGCAGCATCTACTACTATCATGGATTTTCTTAAGCCATTATCTTATATATATTGTTTTATTTGGAGAAGGTAGTATATATTAAATACCTAAAATCTTAAAAATTTGGTAGTAGTTAAGTATCAGAAATGCTAATTCAAAAAAAAAAGAAAGAAAGAAATGCTAATTCACCATTGGGCAGACTGGGACATGCCTGTGATCCCAGCTGCTCTGGGGGCTGATGCAGGAGGATCGTGTGAGCCTAGGATATTCAGGGCAAGACTAGTCAACAGTAAGGCACCTTGGGTGTGGTGGCTAACACCTATAATCCCAGCACTGGTGATGCGAAGATGAGAGGATGCTAGAAGTTCAAGGCTGCTGGGCTACATAGTGGATTCAAGATCAGCCTGAACTGCATAGTGAGACCCTGTCTCCAAAAACCAAAGAAGAAAACAGAACAATGAGACTCTTACCTCTTTTAAAAAAGGAAGTGTTAGTTCAGATAAGCTTTAGAAAAGAATAGAATACCTCCTGGTTTGATGTAGGTATAGATCTGCAGGAGAGCACTGGAGAGTTCTTGAATTCCAGGGACCATTTAGCTTTCTGATACCAAAACATTTCTCATTGCACAGCAGTACCTTCTGGTGACTACCTTTTCTCCGTTAGATTACAGAGCTGAAGGCTGATTTTCAGTACCAAGAATCCCAGATGAGGGCCAAGATGAACCAGATGGAGAAAACCCACAAAGAAGTCACAGAACAATTGCAGGTGACCCTTGCTTACTTTGTGTAGTGATCTGTTGTCATTGCCTGATTGTATTTTAAGTATTAATCTCAAGACTTTTTTTCCTCAAAAAATTGTTGAATGCCTTTTTTGGATATATTTTATTGTTTTACTCTTGAATGTTTTCTG